ACCAACTGAGCTACGGGACCAGCCTAAGTTTGACGTCATTGTTTTAGAAGTTTTTTTTTTTTTTTTTAGAAAAGAAAAAGCAAGCTCCTTAAAAGCTCATACATAAAGAAATGTTTGCAAGAGCTAGATTAGTTATCACGACTGAACCTAAACTCAATAGAGCATGTTAAAATGCAGACCAATTAGCTCCATTATTTTACTATCAAAACTGAGCCCAGTGATGACGTAATAACTTCAAATGTGGTTTATTCAAATGTTTTCTAATCTACACGTCGCCAGGATAGAGTTAAGCAGTTATCCACCTGTAGTACTGTCAGGTCTGCGTCTGTTAAAACATTTTGTTGAAGCTGATTTAAGTGAAAATTTTGAACCCTTTGACCTGACTTTGACCAGGCGTTTACTGTATGTAGGTACGATTGCTAAGGAGCGCAACATTTCAATGAACATTACATACATATACTGGTATAAACGGCGGACCTGCGTTACCAGCGCTTGCATCGCGCATGGAACGTGCTATGTCCTCTCTTGGCGACTATTTCCATTCAAATGGCTTAAAAGTTAACGTAAGCAAGTTCGAGCTCATTACATTCGGCTCCAGACAAAATTTGCGTAGCATCTCACCAATCAAAATTAGGTACCAGTAAAACGCCTTTCGGGCGACCAACGGAGCGAGCGAGAGGATGGGCCTTGCACGTGCGAAATTGCGAGGGGTACCTCCAACTAACTTTTGCACTGCACCCTACTAACCGGTCTTTAGCGATGTGCCAAATTTCAGCGCAATCGGCCTAGCCGTTCTCGAGATCTGGAAGCGGCACACTGCACGTGCGCACGTGCAAGCGGGGTCCAAACTGACTTTTGCACGGCACCCTACTAACTGGTCCCCAACCGTGTACCAAATTTGAGCGCAATCGGCCCAGCCGTTCTCGAGATCTGGGAGCGCCCCCTGCACGTGCGCACGTGCTGTAGCACCCCAACCTTAACACATGCAGATGAATTATCTGATGGAGACCTAACTGTGTACCGAGTTTCAATTCAATCGGCCCAACCGTTGTGCCGTTATTGAGGTTGCGATTTTGGGGGTTCTTAAAAAATGTCCAACTTTACCACGCGCCACGTGCGGTGGTTGGCAAGAACGCATGGTAGCCATCACACCACAGAACTTTTACGTCCAAGTGACATTCAGTAAAGAAGACCGCTTGTCAATCGGATGTCCCGTTCCTAAGATATTAGCTTTTGAAGAGCGTCCCCACGGCCGGCCGGCCGCTCATACTCAGGATTTTCCCTTAATTCAGTACGAGACTCCGCTCGCTTCGCTCGCTCCGTAACAAGGACACATGTCTGACGCCCAGTCCTGAAGTCAAAATTTTGGCGTGGTCTTCGACCAACACTTGTCATGGGACGCGCACGTGAGGACAGTCTCGCGAAGGTGCTGCGGCATCCTCACTGCCCTATCCCATATCCGCCACTTCCTCCCCCTGACACTCTCCCTGAGATAGTCACCGCCCTGGCCGCCTCGCACGTTCGCTACTGCCTGCCCGTGTACGGCAACGGCAGCGCTGGCAACCTCGCAGCCATTCAAAAGCTTTTCAACTACGCGGCCCGTGTGATAGCGGGAAAACGAAAATTTGACCGGGTGTCGGACGTGCGGGGCAGGCTGGGGTGGCTCGACTCATCTCAGCTTTTCCAATACCAATCCCTTTGCCTCCTAGACAAAATCCTATCCTCGGGCTAGCTCGAATGCATCGCCCGTCAGATCTGCTCCAACCGTGACCGTCCCGACCACACCCGCACCACCAGGCAGGACGGGCTCCTACATACACATCCCATCCATTCGCTCTGAGGCGGGTCGGCGCCGGTTTATCTATCGCTCACCACACCTCATGAACCGGCCACCGCTATCAGTACGAAGTCTGAGAGGTCCGCGGTTCAGGCGTGCCCTGAGGGCCCATTTGTCACCTGTCCGTGACCCATAAATCGTGAACGGGAAGCTGCGGTGGTGACGTCGTGCATGGTTTCATGTTTTACATATACGCTTTTTTAATGTGCTCCAGGGCCCAATCTTACCAATGCCGTGAATAGGATTTGGCAGCACTTACCGGAGTTAACGGCACTGATATCAATGACATCCTTTTTATTTACATCCCGCTAATCTTGTCCAATGATTTTGATTATTAGGAATTATTAGGAATTTAATGATTAGGAATGTTGCCTGAACGAATGAATAAGTGAATGTGGAATAGCTCTGAATGTTACCAAATGCCGTGAATGCGCATTCACGGCATTTGGTAAGATTGGGCCCTGGTTTCATGTTTATTGTTAGCGCGTTTAGGGAGCGAGTGTGTCTTTTATCCTGCACTTTGTGACCCATATTTTATTAACGAGAAGGCCGTAATAGCCACTTGTTTAGTGGATGACTTTCAATAAAGTAATACTACTACTACTTCTACCTTAAATTAAATAGGCGGGCAAATATTTTTGCATAATTTCTTTTTTGCAGGGGAGTCAGCACCAAACAAGTAATCTTGCACCAGCCTACCTAGAGGGCCGACTCAAATACAAACGAGCATAAGCCAGCAAGTGTCAGGCTTCACTGACGAGGCAAAAATCGGTGTCTTCACGTTCCAGTCAAGAACAAATATCGCAGCATGCTTCAACGCTGCTCCAACACGGTATAATGAGTGCGAGAGCTTGTCCTGGACACATGCTCAGGATTCAGCGTTTGCGATAGCTCACGACACCTGGAAATGTAAAACACAGTCCTGTTCGAATTTGCAATATGTCATCTGTTATGTGCATGATTATTCTCACATTAAGGGGTCTCATGGTCTGACTACTCCAATGCCCAATGCTCATGTCGATCTTTCGAAGCCACCAGTCATCCCAAGATATTTGACATGCGTGGAATAAGTTCATGAGGCGATTTTTATCGAGTGAGTAATGCATGGTGAGCTCCATCGGTACGCATGTAATGTCATTCGACTACTTGATTACGAAAAAGCTTATTCGCTCATACCTAACCAATAAGAAGTAGTCACTCGTAGCATAGATCAAACGATGAATAACGACACCCGACACATTTACATACAGCCGATGCAATGTTCACAGACATAACCCGGAACGTCTCATGATCATGAATGCAAACAAATGCAGTACTGGAAAATTAATAGCCTTCTGGAATAAATGTGACTTGATGAATAAAAACGATCAATGAAAATGATGTGCACGACATCACCAGTGCTATCAGAGAATAAGCTAAGTGAATAAGTTAGTTTTTAGCCAGCATACCTAAATACAAAAAATGTACATACAAAATGAAACAAAATGCTTTAAACACGAAATATTACGCAGAGTCTCTAGCAAGCATCACAACAAAACGTCCCCAATAAACGTCGTTTGATAGTTCTCATATGCATGTTTTCATTTAAAGCGATACAAACATAATAAGAAAAGAAAGCCTAATGAAATTTCCCGCCGCCGAATACAGCCGCGCGATGCTTGATGGAAAAGTTGCGGCCACTAAAAAAAAGATGAGCTCGAAAGAGCAGTCACATTTGATGAAAGGAAAATTTCAAAATTGCAAAACTTGATCGGAATTTATGCGTGCAGCCCAGTTACCTACTCACATTTGACCAACTGGATCATTCATATTGAATATAAAGATTAAGAATCGTAGCCATTCATATTCATTCATATTGAGCAATAACTTATAAACACTTTTTATTGGTATCAATATGCATTTTATCTGAATATGCATCCCGGCCCCGCTCATATTTTTGTAAGAAATAGAGTCGTCTCCACACCTATATGGCATAATTTCTATTTTACAACACAGCATTTGCGTGTTTCCAGTAAGTTTATTGGTGGATCCCCTTCCACTTACCTACCCCAGGTGAGGAACAAGAATGTATATGGAGACTGTCTATCCTGCCATGTCCGACATTGAGCAGCTTTTCTAAAACCTGTAACCATCTGTAAGAAAGCCTGTCGGCTGCCATAAGACGAGTTTGCTTTAAGTGGCACAACAACGCATATGGCGGTGAGGTTCAAAGAGCTTATGGAAATTGCGAAATATTTTTTTCGGGCTCTGTCCGCCTCAACGTCTAACCCTAAATTTCCTGATCCGCCATTGCGGAACTTGAAGATAAATTATATAATGAAATCTATTGAATTTTTCATGAAACTGAGCTTGGGTTGAGCTCTCAGTGCTGCCATCATCTTGTTGTGGGAGGCTGGATAGGCAAGCTGAGCGGCGCATGGTCCCGCTTTTGGTTTCTAGACCATGCGACGTGCACCCCGCATCGCATCCGCATCAAATGCTGGTCACAGTCAGCGCACTCCTCCATCAACATTCTGATTTGGTCACTAGTTCCTGGCGGTTTTCGAGAAGATATCCTGACACTTACCTGATCACTTCCCCATTAGGTAAGTAAGGCTTGTTACAAGCAGATCACGAAAGAGACAATCGAGTGAGACAGACCATACAGACAGTGAAAACGCAGGGCAGTCTCAGAACGAGTAATACAGAAAAAATAGAAGTGTAGCGCCGAGTGAAGCATGGTGACTGCTCTCGCATACACATTACACAGAGGCGGCGGCTCAAACAGTCTGTTGTTCACCTTAAGGAAGCTGAGATTTGTCCGTCCACTGAAATGATAGAAGCCGGCGATGTTTCCCTCCTGGAATGTGCTTGCGGATGCAAATAAGCCTTGATGTATATTCCGATTGGGGGTTGGTGTATAATGCGGTTATTAGCATATCAGCCGCCTCCGTCGCTGTGTTAGGCTGACCAGCGTTTTACCAGTCATGTAACAGACCCCTGTTAGATATACAACACCAGCAAATATCTCAATTTTACCCAGAATGGAGCTCCTTTTCAGGAAAGCCCGCTCCATATCATCCCTCCCATTACTGACAACACTCTCAGGTGAAAATGAATATAATTTCCGGCCGAGGCGGCGGCCACAAACAGACATTAGAGGCCGGTACGGGCGGCCGCTTACCGGCGTTGGGGATCGCTAAACAGCGGGGCCGGCGCAGAGGAATGCCACTCCGCTCCGCCTACATGGCGCTCCGGCGGCGGCCCGTTCGGTCCACTCTGCTCAGCCGGCGCTCCTGGGGACGACACGGTGTCACCCCGGTCACTGTCACAGAGCGCGCTGTCACACTGTCACCACTGGCGGTCGCGGCCGGTCGAGACGGCGGCGCGCAGTCGGCTCGCGCAGCCGAGACGCACTGGAGCCCGTCGGCGCACAGCGAGCGGCGCCGAGCGGCCGGCGAGCCCCGCCCGCAGCCCCGGCCGGCACCAGTGCAGCCGCCGTCGCCGCGCCGACGCGCCGGCCCGGGAGACGGCAGGGCTGTGAGACGAGCTGGCTGGACAGCGGAGGGCTGTGATACGAGCTATAGAAAAGTAGAGGCCTGCGGGCAGAGCTGGCTGGAGTGGCAGATGTCTGTTGCTTACACAAAAACATAGGCCTAATAGAGTTCTGATCGGACGGCAGAGCTGTGATAGGAGCTGGCTGACAGGGCGGAGGGCTGCGATAGGGGCTGGCTGAAAGGGCAGAGGGCTGTGATAGGGGCTGGCTGAAAGGGCAGAGGGCTGTTATAGGAGCTGGCTGGAAGGGCAGATGGCTGCGATAGAAGCCAACTAAAAGGGCGTTGGAGGCTGCGAGCTAGCTGGCTGGAAGGGTAGGGGCTGCGGGCGTAACTGACATGAAGGGTGGAGGACAGCGATCAGAACAGACATATATCAAGCTGAGTTTTGATCGGAGTTGACGGAGCTGGAAGGGCGCAGAAGGTTGTATTTAGAATTGACTAGTCCAACAAGGACCTGAGTTCAGATGCCAGGCTAGACCGTAAGGTAGCTCGTAAGAAAGCTGGAACTGCACTCGAATGATCGGAACGGAGAGCTGGGCGGGATTCCACGCCGCTCACTGACTGACTGGCGCGACGTCCACCTCCCACGCCTGACGCCATCGGCTTCGATAAAAATTTGACGGATGCTGCTGTGGTCACATCACACGGAGCCCCAATGACGCCATCTCGGTGTTTAGTGGATACTAGCCGTTTTTACGACGGTTAATCTGGTGAATGCACCAAGTTTGACCAACTCTGCACCAAATCTCCTTCACCGGAAATATATTCACATCAAGAATTGATTTCAGTGTTTTAAGTTCGAACAATGTATGATAATTTGAAAAAGCATTTATATAAGCAACTGCACATACATCTGAAGCTGATAGCTTCTAAGAAACACAATGAACCTAATTTGACCAAATCTGCGCCAAATGTGAACCAAATGTGTACCAGATAGCCGTCGTTTAAAAGTTAATATTTCACAGACGCATTCCGGACATTTTCGGCTAAGGTTTCCAGACCTCGGGTTCCAAGGCTTTTGCATCATATAGACGTAATAGCCGTTTTCACGACGGGCTATCCGGCGAAGGCACCTGATTTGACCAAATCTGCACCTAATTTCTTTTACAGCAAATATCTTCATTTTATAAATTTACTTCAGTGTTTTAATCGATGATGCTCTCTGATAATATGACAAAGCATGCATATAAGCAATTAGTGCAACCCTAGCTGATAGCTGCTAAGAGACACACTGAACCTGATTTGACCAAATCTGCACCTAATCTGTACTAGATGTGCACCAAATGTGTACCAGATGGCCGTCGTGAAAACGGCTAATATCTAGCTTGGCAAATTCGCTGTTTCTTCTTATATGATCACTTAGAGTCAAATAAATTGAACTCGTACAGCCAGTCTTTAAGCCCCTTGTCCAATACGCCGAGAAAGAATGGGTCACTGGCACAAATGAAATGGATGTAATAGCGCAACGGCGTTAAAATGTCGGGTGCAGCAAAACGCGTTTGGGGTGACACGGATGAAAATAATACCACTCAAGGCAATATTTGTGTGGACACATGCGGTCACCGACAACCATTTGATTGACTTCTTTACAATTATGAAAGGATTGAAAGTTGGAAGGGTTTGCACATCAATCATCATTGTATATAAAGGGTTCAGAGTTAAGGTTCAAAGGCGGTTTTGGTGAGTTTTTACAGTGTTTTTTTTTTTTAACATGAAAAACCAAATATCTAAACCTAAACTGCTTATGAAAAACCTATTTATATGCAAGAAAAAACTATGTTAGGATGTGTTAGTGCACTGTGTGCCCGGTGCCACCTCTCGGCGCGCTGCTGGGCGCGCCACTGCGGACCGCCTCCCGCTGGGCGCGCCGCTGCCACCGGCGGCGCGGGGTCACGGCCGCAGCCGGGGGCGGCGGTCATTCGGAGCCGGGGAGCCGCCACGCGCGGGTGCTGCTGTGCTGCTGCTGCTGCCGCTGCTGCTTGTGGAAGCTCCAATACACCTACCAAATGGAGACGCTGCCTTTGGCCTAACATTGGCGCGGTCAAGGTAAGCAAATTTACGCTCCCACTATCATAAAAAGAGGGTTTGCTCATGTGCTTCTTTTTACAGCACTGATGGTGTCGATTTTCGATACAGGTGCTTTTAGATATTGACCTGAAATTGGAGAGGGTGTAGTCGTTATCGACACAGCTTTGTTAATTTCAGGTCGATTACAATAGGTACCTAAGTTTATATTAAATCGTATTGAGGCGCTGGGGGCGCTCGCAGCTCATAGCCTCATAACGTGGTCGTTGTACGACACGATTTTCAAACTAGCACGTTCTGCTATTTCATCCCGTATCGTTGGACGATACGATCATATCAATTAACCATCGACCGTACACTGCCCAAAATGGCGAGCGAACTATACATGAGAATTCACAACACAACAAAATTTAGCGGTCGCAAGGAGGAGAACTGGGAAACGTGGATTTCCCGTTTTGAGACGCGTTTTGGTGACTTGGACGAGACAAAACTAGCAGCTGCCTTGCTTGACTTGTTGGATGGCGCTGCGCTGGACGTTTGCGGGAAATTAGACAGGGATGATAGAAACAACTACGAGAAGCTGAAAGGAGAGCTACAGAAGAAATTTGGAGTCAGCGCCGATACACGTAGGGCACACGCAGAGCTGCGTCAGGTGCGTCAGCTGCCCGGTGAAAACACGGAAGCGTTCGCCAATCGCGTCCGTAGGCTCACACACACTGCAAACCCGGGACTGTCCAGCAAGGACCTTGAACAAATAGCATTGGAGCATTTTCTGTGCGGCCTGACCGACCTAAAGCTCCAGGAGAAGCTACATAACGACGATACGGCGTCAACTCTCCAAAAAGCAGAGGAGGTCGCTCAAAAACTGTTAGAAAAGGACCTCACTCTGACTGCTATGCGGTCGTCTTACGGACACGACGCAGCAGCGATCGTTTCTACCAGAGAAAACCAGCATACGGAGGGTGACCAGATAACAGAAATCCTGACCATGATAGGAGAGCTTCAGAGCGAGCTGAGCGGGCTAAAGACTCAGATGATCAGAGACCAACCGTCAAACAGCAGCCGACAGGGCGCTTGTTACCAGTGCGGCGATACCGCCCACTTCAAGCGCGACTGTCCGCAGCTGGTGAAGCGACGCACGCAGCCAGGGACAACACCAAGAGCGATCTCGCCAGGTGTTTGCTGTCTGGGCTGCGGACGGCATGGCCACTTGATATCTGCATGCTGGAGAACGCCGGTAGCAGCGGGTGGCGTCGGTAATTCGAGCACCCCACGCAATAGGTTCGGGATGACATGCCTGAATTGTGGGAAACAAGGACACTGGGCTGCCGACTGTTGGAAACAAAATGACGCCACGGGAATCCAGCCTTCAGCCACAACACAGCAGAGTACGCATCAGGGAAACGACCGTTGACTGGTGCTGCTGGGCGGGCATCAGTCAGAGAGGAGAAAGAGCTAAGCAGCCCTAAACGAGCATCGGTAGTCAAAATCGAGGTTGAAGGAAGAGGGGTGTGGGCCCTTGTCGACTCAGGCGCCGATGCGTCCATGATAAGCCAGGATTTCGCCCAGACAGCGATCCACAAAACATTATTCCGTAAAGGGGCTTTTGGAGCCATCACACAGGCAGGTGGAGAGAAGATAACTGTTAGCAGTCAAGCCGAGGTCACGTTCCAGGTCCAGACAAGACAGTTCATCCAAACCATGATGGTGATCCCCGGTTTAATCTACCAGGTGGTGCTGGGAAGAGATTTCTGCTGCCAGCACAAAACGATCCTGGACGACAGATCGGGAGTTTTCAGGATCGGTGACCTGGAGATTCCTCTCCCTACGTACGCAGAGCTGCGACCACATCGATCCCGAGTGGTTACATGCACTGCGATCACGGTACCCGCCAGATCAAAACAGCTCGCTCCGATGATGGTCGAAATACCAAACGGTGGCGTAAAAATTACTCGTGAGACCACCTGGCAGGGGGTGATGGAGCCCTTACCTGTGGGAAACAATCAGGAATGGAGGATTCCCCGTATCATCGGGTCAGTGTCTGAAGAGGCGACGATTCCCGTCCAAATAACCAACGTCGGAACACAGGCGGTCACGATCCCACCTGGCACTGAGATCGGCACTCTGTTCACAATCGAGGAAAATGGAGAAGGTGTGTACGACGTGCCCAGCGCCGCTACCGCCTCAGCGGAGCCCTGCGCTGGGACGCTCGATGAACTCATCTCCAACCTCCACATCGACGCCACAGTCCTGTCTGAGGGTGGAAAAGCCTCATTGAAACGTCTGGTGACGCGGTACAGTGACATCTTTAGCAAAAACGACGTAGATATCGGGAAGACAACGGTGCTCCAGCACCGTATCGAAACTGGCGATGCAGCGCCAGTACGCCAGAATCTCCGCAGGATTCCGATGAAACTCCGGGAGGAAGTCGAACGGCAGAAAGAAAAGATGCTCAAAGAAGGAGTAATCGAGGAAAGTTCGAGTCCCTGGCGTTCACCAATTGTTTTGGCCAAGAAAAAAGACGGCAGCTTCAGGTTCTGCGTCGACCTCAGAGCAGTGAACGCAGTAACTCAGAGCTTGCCGGTTCCACTCCCACGCATCGACGAAAGTCTCGACAGTCTCGCAGGAGCAAAGATTTTCTCCACACTCGACATGGCATCAGGGTACTGGCAGGTAGAACTGGCTGAGGAGGACCGCGAGAAAACGGCCTTCAGCACAGGAAAAGGACTGCATCAGTTCCGAGCCATGCCCTTCGGCCTCAAGAACGCTGGAGCCACGTTCCAGCGACTAATGGAGCTGGTTTTGGCTGGAGTGGACTCCAAGAGCTGTCT